GATTTGAAACCCACATACTTTTTTTTTTTAAAATTCATTACTAAATTTTATTACTTTTCTTCTAATTTTATTCCTTTTTACACACACATATATATATATATATGCACCTTTTTTGTAATAAGTGGGGTTCTCATAAATTAGGGTCCCCATTCAAATGTTTCAAAACAATCCCCTCAGATCCGCCTCTGCCTTGAAACCACCATCTCAAACCAACAAGCTGAGACCAACACAAACTGAAGCAACGTTACCAGTGAAGTTGTCTAGATGCCATACACCTTCACTGGTTAGCTCCTTCGCTGATGTTGCCGGGAATGCCATCAGGAGCCGCGAGAGCCCAAACCTAAAAACAAAAACCTCCAAGAGACCAAACAACCTCACCATCAGAAGAAGCATACAGAGGACTCAAACCACACACCACAAACAAAACCAGAACCCGAGATAACTTCCTCACAATTATATTTATAGACTATTCTTGTTACTATTGGAGCAATTAGTGATGAATCGGTATATAGATTCCGAATGTTCTTAATTCTCTAGTAATGTTTTATTTATAAGAGGGTACAGAAAGAGATTGATGAATATGCGTCTCAATCATCGATTCAATAACCGGATTTTCGGCCAATAAATACTTAAATGAGATAGTGAATATAACTATATCCGATTATTGAATCGATGATTGAGACGCATATTAATCAATCTATCTCACGCCTAACGCGATCTCAAACCTTGGCTCATTCACTATTGGAGCAGCAATGGGCCAATAAATATTTAAACAAAAAAATCATGCGAAAACTAAAAGAAAAATCAAACTCTAATATAGTTATATTCACTATTTCGGTCTCTAATACAAAGAAAATATATAATAGCTGGAAGTAGAGAGAAAAACAAAAAGATTTTTTATGTTTATGATTAAAATTAAATAATTAAAGTTTTAATAGAAAGAACTATTTATATTAAGGATAAACAAGAAAAATAAATTATCAAAATGTCGAGTAAATTTAATTTTTAAAAAATATTTATAATATTATTTAAAATATAATTAACTAATTAAATAAAAAACACATTGGTTTATCAGTTTAGTTCGGTTTTAACCATTTAGAGAATAAACTCAATGGTTTGTATATATAATTTGCCCACACCTAATTTAGATTATTCCGCATTTTGTTCCGTATAATTTTCTTATCCATTCTGCTAAATTCGATTCACCATTCGGACCGTAAAATAATGAAGACAAAAACAAACAAAACAATATAATGAAGCTGTCTTTTCAAGACTGTCGGGAGAAATGATAAAATCGACCACCACATGCAAATGGATGTGGTCAAAACCGTCAACTTTGACTTTGCAGCATTACGAGTTACGTGAGTCAATCTCTCTTTTCTATTAATAGCTACCAATTCCTTCTTCTCTCAGTCCAACCCACACAGTCACACAACACCATAATGAAATCGTCTTTCTTCCCTCTCATCATCCTCACCGCCATCATCTTTCTCCGGCGTCTAAACCCCACAGAAGCCGCCACGTGTCATCCCGATGACGAAGCGGGTCTCCTAGCTTTCAAATCGGGTATAACCCGAGACCCATCGGGTATTCTCACCACATGGAAGAAAGGTACTCCTTGCTGCTCATGGAACGGTATCACTTGTCTCACCGGAGACCGCGTCACAGCGATATCAGTCGGCGGACAAGCTGATGTCGCCGGAAGCTTCCTCTCCGGCACACTCTCACCGTCTCTTTCCAAACTCAAACACCTCGATGGGATTTACTTCACAGATCTCAAAAACATCACTGGACCGTTTCCTCAATTCCTTTTCCAATTACCACAGCTCAAATACGTCTACATCGAGCATAACCGTCTTTCCGGTCCACTTCCAACCAACATTGGCGTGTTAAACCAATTAGAAGCGTTTAGCCTCGAAGGAAACCGGTTCACCGGTCCAATCCCGAGTTCGATTTCAAATTTAACTCGGTTATCTCAGCTCAATCTCGGTAATAATCTCTTAACCGGAACAATACCATTAGGGATTGCTAATCTCAAGCTCATTTCGTCTCTCAACTTCGGCGGTAACCGTCTCTCCGGAACCATCCCGGATATTTTCAAATCCATGACGAATCTCCGATTTCTGACTCTCTCTCGCAACCAATTCTCCGGTAATCTTCCTCCGTCGATTGAATCACTCGCACCGATTCTCAGGTTCCTCGAGGTTGGTCAGAACAATCTATCGGGAACGATTCCGAGCTATTTATCGAAATTCAAAGCTCTAGACACATTAGATCTCTCAAGGAATCGATACTCAGGAATCGTCCCCAAAAGTTTCGCAAATCTCACCAAAATCTTCAATCTCGATCTCTCTCACAATCTCTTAACAGATCCATTCCCTGTATTGTACGTGAAAGGAATCGAATCTCTAGATCTATCGTACAATCGATTTCACCTGAATACGATTCCGAAATGGGTGACTTCTTCGCCGATCATCTTCTCGTTGAAGCTAGCGAAATGTGGGATTAAGATGAGTTTAGACGATTGGAATCCAGCGGAAACGTACTACTACGATTTCATCGATTTATCGGAAAACGAGATCTCAGGAAGTCCGGCGAGGTTTCTAAACGAGACGAAGTATCTGGTGGAGTTTAAAGCGGCGGGGAACAAACTCCGATTCGATATGGGGAAGCTGACGTTTGCGAAGACGTTGGAAACCTTAGATCTGTCGAGGAATTTGGTATTTGGGAAGGTGCCGGCGACGGTGGCTGGACTGCAGAAACTGAACTTGAGTCAAAACCATCTTTGTGGAAAGCTTCCGGCGACGAAATTCCCGGCGAGTGCGTTCGCCGGTAACGACTGTCTCTGCGGCGCTCCACTCTCTCCTTGTAAAGTGTAGCGGAAACAAAACTGAAAATTAGTAATTAACGTCACACGTGTAGCTCCGAATAAGATTTGTACTGTATTAATAAAAAAATTAAGTAATTTTCAAGATACGACGAAGCTACGTTACAACGATATGTATTAGTGAATGTATACACTTCTGCATAATTTTGTTAGTTAAAAATTTAGGGTGTGATTGGTAAGTATTAGAGTAATTAAGAGTAAATAAAAATCGAGAAATTGGGAAGAAAACAATTAGAATAAATGAGAGTAAAAGAGAGTAAAAGAAAAAAAAATATGATTGGTAGTGGATTAGAGTAAATGAGAGTAAATGAATAATAATAAAAATTTAATATTTATTAACTTATAAACAATATAACAAAATGCATATTACATTAAATTATAATATGTAAAATAATGTTAAGCATATTATAATATGAGAGTAAATGAATTATAATAAAAATTTAATATTTATTAACTTATAAACAATATAACAAAATGCATATTACATTAAACTATAATATATAAAATAATGTTAAACATATTACAATACATATATAAATGAAAACTATTTTCACAATAAATAAATATATATTAAAATTACAGTAGATTTAATGACGACGTCGAGGTCTACGTTGATTTGCAGCCTATATTTGTTCAGCAATCTGATCACGAACTATTTGCATATACGACCAAGAAAAAAACACTTATTACGTTTATATGTTTGAAACTGGGAAAGAGATGGAAGGAGAGTTGGAAATCATATATTTATTTCCGTGTAGTGGAGTGATAAAACAATAAAATAGGGATGTATTTATAAGACAAAAAGTAATATAAAAAATAAAACGAAATCCAATGTAAGATTACACTTGGATAAGGGAGAGGTAAGATTCTCGCCAACTTGGACGATAAGGAGAGGAAATCTTTTTTTTTTTGCTTTTTTATCTTCTCACTTGATTGGTGGATAACAGGTGGGATCCAGCGATAATTTTTTTCCACCTTTTCACTTTTACTCTATACATACTTTACATTCACACTCTTAATATCATATCACAATTTACTTCTAGTGGTGGTATGAATTGTTTATATGATATTGTGGAATTATTATATATAAAAACGAGAATTTGCACTTGATATACACAGATAATTGGCTAAGAGTGTAATCAATGGTAGTTGTTAAGTGGATTTTAATGGGGTTTCTAAAAAAATTAAAAGTAATTAAATAATACACAAAACATTTAAAACCTCCAATAAAAAATCATAATTTAAGAGATTTAGAACTCCAAAATGTGGAGTTCTAATTTACAATTTTTAATAAAAATTTTACTTAGCACCCCAACTTAACAAGGGTCATTTAGGTTAATATCCTATTATAATTCAAAATGTATGTAGATAGAAAATTCTATAATTAATTAAACTTTACAGGTAAGAGAAACAAATTTGTGACCAAAATGCCCTTCTGAAATCAGATCTGACATGGCCTGTCATGTACAGTATGACGCGCCACACTATTCATCATTAAATGCAAAAAGATGAGTGATGAAACACTTTTACTAGATATAAATGATCTAATTTTTTTTTTTGTTTGAGACACTCTTTTTGGAAAAGTTAATGTCTCATATACGCCCAATATAAACGAGTTTATTTTTTATTTTTCTAAAAATACAAAAAGTGGACAATTACTCTTTTGCCAGGGAATGTTACAAAAATAACATATCCAACCAGTTGTATCCACCCGCTTTATCATTGACTCGGATCCACTCCAAAAAGAAAAAAAAATCGATAAACAAAACTGAAGCTTTCTATTGTTCATGCCTCAATTCTCTGTAAACCCAAATACCTATCAACAAACAAAATTACAATTTTCGGTTGCAATCTCTCTTTCTAAAATTTCTACGATTTTGTTTTGCCAATCGACATGGCTCTCCAACGATCACCAATTCGCGGCACAGATTCAAAACCACCGTTGTAATTTGGTGAGTCCCGTCAACGTCTCTGAATATTTCTCATCGAGGTTGATCAATTGAGGAGGAAGAAGAGTATATGAAAGCACGCACCACTGTGAATCGGAAATACGACGAATTGGAGAGTTATGCAAGGTATTTTCGTCGATGCCACGAGACTCAAAGCTCCAATGCGTCTTTGATATCAGGAGATGCCCTTCATGCACAATCCATCAGAAGATCTTCACACACAACGAAACCTGTGAATTGAGAATTTTGTTTGCTAGACAGGTGGCATCAAGCTAGTGAAAGATTTAAGATGAGTAATAGCTTGAAGGCCTCGAGGTTTCTGTTTTGAACTGAGGTTATCAGAGAATTGCTCATCTTAAACAGGTAAAGAAATAAATAGTCATTGATTATACGGCCCTCTTCATTGATTATCCTATAATTGTCAAGGCAATTTATCAACTTTAGGTAGATTTGATTATGAATCCGGTAACAAGATTGTTAGTTCTCTTAGGGAATCTCACTAGAACATAATCAACTATATCATCTTATAGAATTGATTAGTAGTAAAGAAGGTAGATATATCAACTCTATCAATTCAAAATCAAATTGGCAACATTGAAAGTAAAACTGGATTTATTAGGGACAACACAAAACATTTTTGTACAATTAGATTCCAGTTGATTTTTTTATTGATTCCACTTTCATAACCACAAAATAAAAAGACTTATTCTGCTTGTTCTCTATTATTATTGATTCCATTTTTACATTGATGTGATTCTATATGTTACTTACATTGGTGTGGTGTCTCGAGGAGAAGAAGTTAAAGAGGCTAAGCGGCATAACAAACACACAGAAGAACCTAAAAACTTAGATGGTAAAAGAGCAATTCTGGATGCTAAAAAGAGGGAGAGCCCAAGAGGAAGACAACATAGTTTTGGGAACTGTTTGAAGAAGCAAAGAAAGCTGCTAATGTGGCCAACGCTAATGATATTCTCTTGGGCAAAATATAAAGTGACATTCTGGAGAATGTGTGGCAGAGTAACGGAATAATGACATTGTCGAAGGACCTCAATGTGGTTCATGAAATTTTTGTGGCTTTCAGAAATAACTTGAATGAATGGGCTATTGGTTGATGTTTGTGTCTTTTGTTGTTACGTGTGATGTATGATGAAATTATATTGTCTGTACAATTGGATTACTTAAATACAACTGGATTTATTAGAGACAACAAAGTATATGTGTACAACTGGGTTTATTAGGGATAACTATGTACAATTGAATTGTTGATGAGACTCAATACTAAATATTTATGTCATCATTAAAAAAATACATGTTAATAAAAATGCACATTCAACGCCGTTATTGTCAGTTTTATTCAACATATGTAGTGCCAAAATTGACACATGACAATTATATGAATAAAAAATTCATGAATTTTTCAAACAGTTGTCCATAGTTTTTGGTTAACATAAAATTCAAACAGTTGTACTTTTCAGAATTTTAACTTTATATTAGTTATACCAATAAAAAGTTAAAGTTATTTAGTTGTACACCGAACATATGGTCATTCTTGCATTGCCCCCAAGGTTTTCATGTAGTCAA